AAATTCATTTAGGAATTCTTGTAAATATGCATTCGCTAAACGATTGTAAATAAATTGCTAGCTTTTATTGAATTGATTTGATTAGATACATGACTACTTATTGTGACTTGCATTTGTATTTCGTAAACTTTGATTTTGTAATGTTGTAAATTCATTTATAATTTAGTAAATTTGGCATTCGATAAACATCGTAAATAAATTGCTAGCTTTATGAATGCATTTGTAAGAATTTTTTTTTAACCGATGACTACTATTGACTAGATTTGTATTTTCGTTAAATGATTTGTAAATGGCTTATAAAATTCATTTAGAATCTTGTAAATTGATTTCCGTAAACATGCTAAATAACATTGTAGCTTTTTATGAATGATTTGTAGATACAATGACTACTATTTGACTTGAATTATGTTATTTTTGGCTAAATTGATTTGTAATGTTATAAATTATTTAGAATCTTGTAAATTGCAATTTACGTAAAACATAGTTAATAAATATGTAGCTTTTTATGAATATTGATTACAAACAGTAGACTTGGTTTGTAGAACCATGCAATTAATTGTGACTTTGTAATTTGCTAATATTGTCTAGAAATATAACTGATTTGTATTTTCGGTTGAAATTGATTTAAATGTTCGTGAATTATTTTAGAATCTTGCTAAATTGATTTCCTAAACATGCTTAATAAATTGTAACTTATAACTTGATGTTTCTATGAAATAAATTGTTTACTTTTGTTAAATTAATTTTTATAACTTTGTAAAATGATTTTAATGCCATTGTCAAATTGATTTGGGATTCTAGCTTTAAATTCTTTAGAAATGATTTTTGAGGGTAATGGCCTGCCATTAGTTGCAGCCAGCACCAGGCTGCCGACAATGACGAGGGCAACTCCGCATCCCTGCCAAATATACGATTATCATTAGATTATTGGCTATAGGAAAAGTTCTGGTTGTATAAACCGAGACATCACCTGAAATTCGTCCGAATTTAGAGTTGTAGTGGTTTTTGGGCGTGAGAGTGCCTGCTATCGGCATTTTAGCATCAACGGCGTGTTATATATTAAAAATCTAAATTAATTTTTTTCTTACAATTATATATCTCGTAAATTACATTCCACTAAGTTCTTTTTAGAAGATTGCTAGTTAGTGCAAATTCTATGCCATATTTTTTCTAAAATTTTATTTTTAAATGTATAAATATATAGGTATGTGTATATATATATATATATATATATAAACAAAGTCACATAATAGGCATAGAATTCAATTAACGAGCATAGAATTCGATTACATGCATATATATATATATATATATATATATATATATATACATATATATATATATATACATGTGTGTATGTAATTTAAGACCAATGATAAATCACAAGAACATGGATGAAAAGCAAAAAGCGTGTCTTTATTTCACTCACCCAGAAAACGAAGTTAAAGACGAATAGAATAATCTTTTGCGCATTTTTGCTCCACACCCCAATCCCATTTTAACTTTGGTTGCCTCAAACGTTATCTATAAAAAGATTAGACATAGATATAAGCGCGTGTTACGTAAAAATTAATTGTGTATGTGTGCGTGCGTGCGTGTAGGTTTATAGGCGTAAGAGGTGTTGGCGTAAGAGGTGTTGGCATAGACGTGACCAGTGTGCACATCGTTACTGAGTGTGACCTACGCGCGTGTGAGTGTGGGCGTGCAGGTGTTGATGTGTGTGCGCGTTCGAGCTGCGTGTGTGCGTGTGCGTGTGTGTGCATGTGTGGGCGTGTAGGTATGTGCACACTCGTTTACGTAACACGCGCTTATATCTATGTCTAATCTTTTTATAGATGAACCGTTTTGAGGGCAACCAGTTAAAATGGCGATTGGGTGTGGAGCAAAATGCGCAAAGATTATTCTATTCGTCTTTAACTAACACGACGCGGTGTGCTTGTGTGGCGGCAAGTGTTCGGTTGTGTATGTATGTATGTAATGTGTGTTGCTGTGTGTGTGTGTGCGGTTGTTGTGTGCTGTGTGTGTTGTGTGTGTGTGGAAGGTGTGTGTGTGTGCCTTCGTGCGCGCGCGCGCGTGATGATGTGTCGGGCGTGCAGGTATTGATGTGTGTGCGCTGTTGCGTGCCGGTCGTGCGTGCCGTCAGGTGGCGGGGTTGTGGGGCCATGTGTGGGCGTGTAGCGTATTTGACGTGCGCTCGATGGTGTGTGTGTGGACTGTGTGTGGAGGTGTGTGTGTGTGCTGCTTGTGTGTTTTGCTGTGTTTAGGTTGCGCCACGCGTGTGAGTGTGTCGCGTGCAGGTGTGATGTTGTGTTGCGCGTTCCGTGCGTCACTGTGTGCGTGTGGCGTGTGTGTGCATGTCGTGGGCGTGTAGGTATTGCGTGTGTGTGCGTGGCAGTGTGTGTGTGTGAGTGTGGCATGTGTGTGTCTGTGTGTGTGTTATGTGTGCGCCGTGCTGCGCGGCCCGGGCGTGTAAGGGTCCGTGTTTTATGCAGGTTTTCCGCCGGGTCCGCGCGTCCGGTACGTCCGGGTTTTATCTCACACCCAGAAGGTTTTGCATCGAGTTGCGTACGCACGTATGCATCAATCGTGTCGTCGACTTTCGTCACGCCGAAATATATAATATGCTTCATTTCTGGTGGCTCTACGCATTCAACGCACCCTATGTTTCAGCTTTCGTTCAGATTATCTTGTACCTCATTTTCTTTACTCGACAAGCTCTTACTTCTCCGAAAAGTGTTTATTTGCTGTCTTACGACTCGACTCGCATTCTCACTGTTTTTTACAGTCGTTTCCAGCAGCCCTCCTAGCTCACACACCGCGCGGGCTACGCACACGCACGCACGTGCCACGAACCGCACGCACGCACGCCACATCGACGCACGCACTCAAGCACACGCACCTTCCCCCTTCAACAGTTCCCACTTCCCAGGCGCCTGTCGAATCCTGAGACAGCGGAAGCTGCGCCGTGCAGGTTGCCGCGGAGGGATGGTTCGAAGCAGGCAAGCCGTTTCGGCGAAGGCGAGGGATCGCCCAGGCACAGGCTCATCACTGTTTCACCTCGTGGCGCGCAGGCGACCGCCACGACGTATCCGCCGCCGCCGCCGCCTCGCAGACCCGCTCCGCGTAGACTAGAGTATTTTCAGGGTTCGTAGCCGCGCGCAAGGATCGCTTTCACGCGCTCACTCTTAAGCGATGTACTCCCAGTAGATGCTGTGTCTCGTGTCTCACAATGTCTCATCGGTATGGGGAGTGGGAGGTGCTGTCAGTGTTGTTTGCGTGTTGTTGCTTGTGTGATGTGAGTGTAGGGCATAAACATATTATACGATTGAGTGCAAAATGAGCTGAGAGGGATGCTGGGGAGTGTGTGGATGGGTGTGCACAAAAGTGAGTAACAAAGCGCAGGTTATTTCACATGTACATCCAGCTCTGGTTATGAATGCTGCATTCGATCTTAAGGTTAATGCTCTTTGCCATCGCTCGTTCATTTGTGTACGGTAACAAATGAAGTCTTACATTATGCATCATAGCAAGAGCGTATAAAGAAGCCTTCTTAATGCGCTCTTGATCATTGTAAACGCTAAATCGGCAGCTGGTTATGCGCAGCCTGTGTTAAACCTCGCTAATGATTCTGCGTAGGAAAGAGGCAGCTTGCAGAGAAGGAGACAGCACATCGGGCGGCGATGACGTACGAGTGGGTTCATTCGCATGCAGATCTCTCCTCTGTACACGGTGGCAGCAAGTCACACCTGCCGAATCTACCGTGTGACGTGCGCTCTGGTCATCACCCAAACCTGACGGTGCGTCCAAGGATGTGTGTGTGCGTGCGTGCGTGCGTGCGTGCGTGCGTGCGTGCGTGCGTGCATGTGTATATAAATGTATGTACACATACATATACACTGTAGACAAAATATAAAGTGGGTGATTGGCTGCAAAAATTTTAACCACATTAAAAGTGAGTTCGTGTTATACATATCGAGTTTATATATTTTGGTGGAATAGACAGGATCCGCACGGGTATAGAAAATATTCAAGATTTACCTTAATATACAGATATTTATATTTTTTGAACAAAGAGATAAAAAAAAGGTGCTGTTAACTAGTTTTTTGTTAATCGGGTTAAAACGTTTTACCGCGTTTTAAGTTATTGTGCATGATATTGGGTCTACAGTGTATACACCTCACTGATGCTAGTTGTAGATGAATTTTAATTTTAGTTTGTTGTTACATTCCTTGGAAGATGACCCTTTGGTAATAATTGTTCTTCATGATGGTGATCGAAACAATTGAGGTTTAATGTTGGATGCCATTTAGGAAAGCTTACTTGTAGTTTTGTATAATGTTAAGTCTTACAAGGCGCAATTCTTTCATGCAGACAGTGTTTTCGTGCTATTATGCTAATTATAGTATTGTGCTAATTATTGCTCTAGGCACCTGTAACAGCTTTAACTTTGCTTCATCCATTTATCGACAGGCCAGTCAATGCAGCGCCGTTGCTTCCGAAGGATGCAGAAACATTTCATCTCCATTTAATAAATCGACTTCTGGAACCAGCATTGTATCGAGTAAAACAAAAGGAAGAGCAAGTGAGTCCTGTTGCATCTGGGGAAGGGGGAAATTTACCCCACTTCGGTCCTTTTACGAGGTTCTTATCATGACTCTTTTTCATCCCCCTTATCTCAATTCTTCTGTTAATTAATTTGATCGTGCGAATATGTCGATCTCCTCCCTTCTCACCTCACTCGACTCTCCACTCCACTTCATATTCTCAGTGTCTCTTACTATTCTTCTCACGAAGCTGTTCACCACCACCACCACTGCTGTTCTGGTGCTATAACTAGCACGTATTGTATCTGCTACAGTTCCTGCTTAAACGATATTCAACCTTGCCTCGCAGCGCAGCACAGTGCGGGAGTAAGGCTGCCTCCCATCACTGCATCTGCTACAGTTCCTACTCAAACCCTATTCAACCTTGCCTCGCAGCGCAGCACAGTGCGGGAGTAAGGCTGCCTCCCATCACTGCATCTGCTACAGTTCCTACTCAAACCTTATTCAACCTTGCCTCGCAGCGCAGCACAGTGCGGGAGTAAGGCTGCCTCCCATCACTGCATCTGCTACAGTTCCTACTCAAACCTTATTCAACCTTGCCTCGCAGCGCAGCACAGTGCGGGAGTAAGGCTGCCTCCCATCACTGCATCTGCTACAGTTCCTACTCAAACCTTATTCAACCTTGCCTCGCAGCGCAGCACAGTGCGGGAGTAAGGCTGCCTCCCATCACTGCATCTGCTACAGTTCCTACTCAAACCTTATTCAACCTTGCCTCGCAGCGCAGCACAGTGCGGGAGTAAGGCTGCCTCCCATCACTGCATCTGCTACAGTTCCTACTCAAACCTTATTCAACCTTGCCTCGCAGCGCAGCACAGTGCGGGAGTAAGGCTGCCTCCCATCACTGCATCTGCTACAGTTCCTACNCCACTTCATATAAAAAATATTCTGCTATCTGGCATGTAACTAACTGGAAAGATCGTTTGACATTACAGGGAATTTTGGCTATAAAAGCACTTGCATTCACACTCTGACATGAATCAATACCTGAATGATCTGGCACATCATCTAAACGTCTAACGGCAACCAAGTCATTCGCCAGGATGACAAGATTATGGTCGTTACACGTGTATATACTTGCCTTTATATGAAACGCAATTTCTAAAATCAATGTAAGCGTACCCTCGTTTAGCCTGAAGGGAAGTGTTAATTGACAGTATACACTGCAGTAATTAGGTACAACAACACATATTACAACACCTATCTGTACAAGACAACAAAACCACGAGAAATAGATTAAACCCGTGTGCACGATTACCGTGTCCAATCAAATTTAACTCTAGAGTGTTATGATTGATGGGTGTTATGGTTATATATTGTCATTGTGTTTTACAGAAGTACTGCTTCGGTAGCCAGACTATTCTAATGTTCTCCACTATATAGCTTTAAATGACACAACGAACATACATGTTTGCCTAAAAATGTTATCTGTAAATGTGACTACAACGCTGCTAGTTGTTCACGGTAATGCGTTCTCTTCCATTGTTAGTGGACGCTGCGTGAATTAAGGCACACGTGGTGAAGCTCCATTCAGTAATAAAAGAAATTTACAACTGCCTATTTTTATAGCGGACGATTTACGACTAGTCTTTTTTGATAATATACAGCCGCATTACATTAGTATTTTTCTCATTTCTGTCGTGCCTACACATCACTCCATCCAATACGTCCGCGCACGTCTTTGTGCAGTTGTCCACCACGCATGCGCGTTGTCTGGACATCGCCGTGGTCGCAGAGAAACCGTCAGCATCGCAGAAGTGTGGAAGAAGGTCATATGTCCAGCCTACTCTAGATTAGTACACTTGGTAATGTGCAGTGTTTGCGCACGTAAGACAACGACGGCACCACAGCCACTTGGCGCGTTCTAATAATAAAATGATGGTAAATAAACGACGTGTATTTACTACCAAAGTCAATGTTTCTGTACTCTCTTTCGCTTATTTTTACCGATAATTTTACCATCATTTTATTATTGAAACGTTCCAAGTACCTGTGGGCGGAACCAGCACGTATTCACACACTACGACACTGTGTTATATTTTCCAAATGCATTCGGTGATCACCAGCTCTGTGTTAGAGCGTGCAGCTTCCCAGAATTTATCTAAACAAGATTGATTGATAGTTAGCTGCCCTAATTACGTCTTGATTGCCGTTTCTTGATTGCGCCTAGTCTTCAGTGTTGCAGCAGAGGCAAAGAGTTAAGATCATGCCAACGACCTGCGGAGGGAAAAAATCAGGTGTTATAGGTGTCGAATAGGTGTACGATATTGGGACTTAGTCTGATGTCTAGCTACTACAGATCGTTCTCAGTATTTACTTGTCGTGATGATTATTCTGGTTCTAACTGTGGGCAACACGTCTCTCTCCCTCTCTCCTTCCCTCCCTCCCTCTCTTCCTCCTTCCTTCCGCCTTCCCTTTCCTCCCTCCCTCTCTTCCTTCTTCTCTCTCTCCCTCTCGTTACTCCTCCCCCTTCCTCCCTCTTTCCTCTTCTTCCCTCCCTCCTCTCTTCATTCTTCTCTCCCCTACCTCCTTCCGCCCTCTCTCCCTCCCACTCCCTCCCTTCCTCCCTCCTCCTCTCTCCTCCCTCCTCCCTCCCTCCCTTCCTCCCTCCCTCCCTCCCTCCCTCCCTCTCTTCCTCCTGCCCGGGGTACTCGGTCATAAATACGCTTCTACAAAGACTGCATGATTATATATATGTGTGTGTGTGTGCGTGCGTGAGTGCGTGTTTGGGGGATTGTGCTCTCTAGCGTATCCGTGACCGCCTTTGTGGTATAATGTTAATTACGGCTCAAACTATTCGATTTCTGATGGTCCGTGAAAGTCGGCAAAGATCTTCATAGTAAGAGACTCATAATCACCTCGATGGCAGCAATGATGAATCCTACTGTGATCACGAGAACGATGTATTTCTCGTATATGACTACGATGTCTTCCTTGCAAGGCTGCAATATAAAGGAGAATATTTATGTCACAGACGCAGAGTCGGTCCAGCTGATTAATAAGACTTCCTCATTGAAACGAAGAGTTATTTGTTCGTAGCGAGTTCATAGCGATCATGGACTCGCGCGTTCGTCTGTAGAGTCGTCTACGCACTCAAGCGCAGACGCACAAACACAAACACATGCCCACTTACCTTACAAGCGCACATATATGTACACGTGCACACGCACGCGCGCACACATACGCACAGACATCGCACATATATATACGTATATATATATATTATGTGTACGTGTGTGTGTGTGTGTGTGTGTGTGTGTGTGGTGCGTGCGTGCGTGCGTGCGTGCGT